AGCTCCCTAAAAAGCCACTCCTTACCCACCTCTGTGTCAGATCAAAGATCTTGACATCACATGGCTTGGTTTGCTTTCTGTTGCTGTGATAAAGCCCCCTGGAGAGGAAGGACAGCTAGGGCAGGAACTAAAGCAGAGGCCATGGAGGAAAGATGCTTACTGGCTCGCTCAACCAACTTTATTATACAACCCAGGAACACCTGCCCATGGGTGGAATCACCCATAGTGAGCTGGGCCCTCTCCCATACCAATCATTAATCAAAATGCTCCAGACTTCCCTACAGCTCAATCTGAAGGAGGCAATTCCTCAATTGAGTTCTCTCTTCCCAGATTGTCAGATTGGCAAAAAACAAACAAACAAACAAAAACAGCACGTAGATTTAAACAAACAAACAAAAGTTTGGAATGTATTAATCCTATTCTCTACCAACCCAAGGAAAACAGCATCTCCTCTGCCTGGCTGTAACCCACCTCTCTGATGTCTCCACCAATGTATTTTATCTATAACTTTGAACTTTATGAAAGTGTTTATACACTGGAACAGGGAATTTGAGATAACCTAAATCCATGTTCCCGAGGCATGGCCACTCAGTTCAGCACTAGGATAATCTTGAGGAGAGAGCTGTGCTTTTGTGCCAGCCCTGGCCACTCCTTTTCAAACTCCTCTTGACCTCAAGTATTGAAGAGCCTCAGAGATCGGTCGGCAGGCCTCCTTACACAGCTCTAGGAGAGTGCCTCCAGTTTCATCCATTTTAAGACATAGGTTCCCACATGTACCTAGCTGATAAATTCCTTAAGTTCCACGTACGTTCTTGGGACCCTGCTGTTTGCTCGACAGCTTCACCTCAGTTGTCTCAGAATCTCAAACATAACATGAGGGAAGGCAGATGCTAATCCCGCCCCTCCCACTCCCCATCCCTACCCCAAAATGCTCCTTCCAGAGCCTTGCAAATGGAATCTCTGTCCTTTCAATTGCTTACACCAATACACCTTTGCAGTTTGGACTCCACCTAATTCAGATCCATCATCAAATCCTGTTAACCCTGACCTTTGATCTGGTCCACCCCAGTCTCTCACACTTGATTGTTCACATACCAGCCAGAATTACTTTTTTTTTTTTTTTGAGACAGAGTTTCTCTGTGTAGCTTTGGTGTCTATCCTGGAACTTGCTCTGTAGACCAGGCTGGCCTTGAACTCGCAGAGATCCGCCTGCCTCTGCCTCCCGAGTGCTGGGATTAAATGTATGCGCCACCACCGCCCGACCCCAGAATTACCCTTTTCAAAGAAGCCTTAGCACACCTCTGCTCAAAAGCCTCTCGGGACTCTCCTTACAGCAGTGATCCCACAGCCTGTTTGTTCTGACCCATCCTCTGTTTCTGCTGCTAGCTGACTTCCAGTTCCTTGAGCTTATTTGCATGATCCTATCCCAGGAGTTTATTAAAGACATCCTGATATGCAGTCTCACTTAGCACCTTATCTGACAAGCATGAACTTAATGGACAGCTTTCTTTATTGGGCTGCACGAAACAGTCCTTCAGCCCCAGTTCTGTCCCTCTAATTCTTCTTCCTAGCGTTTTCAACACCCAGCATACCTGTTCCTGTATCTGTCATTTTCCACAATAAAGCAACTCTGCAAGGGTAGGTGTTTCCATATTGCTATGTGCTTAGCACTCAGAAGAGTGGCCGATTGGTTGGGTATGTCAGAGTAAACACTGCCCCCACCCCCAGGCATCCATTGACCCCATTTCCACTGTGTGCTGTAATTCCTACACCACTTTCTTTCCTAATGCTCTTAAAATAATTACAGCAGGACAGAGGTGGGTGCCTTTAATCCCAGCACTTGAGAGGCAGAGGCAGGTATGGATCTCTGTGAGTTCCAGCACAGCCTGGTCTACAGAGTGAGTTCCAGGACAGCCAGGGCTACACAGTGAAACCTTGTCTCAAAACAAAACACAACACTATTACATTATTTATTTGTGTGTTTGCACGTGTATGTTTGCACGTGTGTGTGTGTGTGTGTGTGTGTGTGTGTGTGTGTGTGTGTGTGCATGGCGCGTGAGTGGTCAGAGTATGGCTTTCAGTGCAGGTGACTCCATGGCCACTCAATGTGAAACAGCCTTCCTGGGCCAGCTTAGTCTACATCACCTGGCCACCACTTGTTTCTGAATCTCTAAAATGGTTTCCTAGGAGATTCCCCTTTGGCCTATGTGATGCCAATTCTTGGTTGTCAACTTGATTACATCTGGAATTAACTAAAACTCAAGTGGTTGGGTACACCTGTGAGGGAATGTTTTCTTAATTAAATCCTTTGACATGGGAAAATGCACTTTTTTTTTTCTTTTTGATCTTTTGAGACAGGGTTTCTCTGTGTAGCCCTGGCTTTCCTAGAACTCACTCTATAGACTAGGCTGGCCTGGAACTCAGAGACCTCTGCTTCTGCCTCCCACACGTGAGGATTAAAGGCATGTGCCACCACCAACCAGCTGGGAAGACGCACTTTTACTCCAGATCTTTGAGGTGGGAAGAACCACTTTTAATCTGGGCCACGCCTTCTGCTGGTAGCCTAGATAAAGGACTTGGAAGCAGGAAGCTTTTTCTTTCTTTGCCTGCTTGCCTTCACTCTCCACAGCAAATTCATTCCTTCACTGGCACTAGAGCTGACTTTTTTTGGAATTCTGGCATATATGAAGAACAGCTGAGACCTCTAGCCTTGGGGACTGAACAACTGTATTCTTGGCCCTTCTGTTTTAGACAGCTATTGTTGGAGTAGCTGGACCACAGTCTGAAAACCATCCCAATAAATCCCCTTTATTTATCTATCTGGATTCATTTTGTTAAAGTTCTGTTCCTCTTAGAGAACCCTGAGTATATCAACCTGGATGCCTGTACCACTGGTACCAGTGAAGTGGGTTTATTTGTTGAAATGAATTCCAATTCCAGTAGTGGGAATTCACTCCTGTGGCCAGCGGCCTTCAATTAGAATGTCATTTATTCGTACCCTTAGCTTGCACCACTTGTAACAAGAACCTCAATGGGATATATATATATATCCCATATATATATATATATATATATATATATATATATATATATATATATATATATATATATATATATATTTACATATATATAAATTTATTAAGGGGTTCTCTGGGGAAAACAGACTCACTGATACAGATAAGGTAAATCCAGTTGCAGAATCCTTGGAAAGCTGGGGACCAATCACATGCTGCTTCTCACTGCCTGATCCGGTGTTCACCACCCAAGAGTGAGACCCCCTTTCTTCTCCCTTTTAAACTGTCACATAGGCAGGTAAGAAGCACCGCCTATGACCAGATAGCCCAAGGTCATGGGTGGAGTGAATTCCCACTAAAAATTCCAAAGCGTCCAGCACTAAATCAGGTATGCAGAATTTTTGACCACCTAGCTTTGCATATTTTCTTGCCATCTGTCACGAGGATATACTATTATAATTTATATTATAATAATTGCACCCACAGTGGAAAGAGATGCACCTAAAGATTTCTTTGTTTCTAGAGACAGGATCTCATGTAGCTCAAGATGGCCTCAAACTTACTATGTAGCTCAGGATGACCTTAAATTTTTTTTTAAAGATTTATTTATTATATATACAGCATTCTGCCTGCATGTATGCCTGCGGGCCATAAGAGGGCACCAGATCTCATTACAGATGGTTGTGAGTCACCATGTGGTTTCTGGGAATTGAACTCAGGACCTCTGGAAGAACAGTCATTGTTCTTAACCTCTAAGCCATCATTAGGGCTGGAGAGACCTTAAATTTCTGACCCCTTCCTCAGTCTCCTGAATGCCGAGATGACAGTCATAACACCGTCAACATGGCCAGCTCGCATTTCAAGAATTTAAATGAGGTAGGGTGGGGACTAGAGAGAAGCCTCCACATTTAAGAGCCCTTGTTGCTCTAGCAGAGGGCCAAACGGAGTTCAGTTCCGAACACCTGCATCAGGTGGCTTACAACCAGGTGCCTGTAACTCCAGGAGCTGTGACTCCGTCTTCTAGTCTCCATAGGCATCCACACTCACCTGTACATACATGCCTAAATAAAAATTAAATTCATGCCAAAATTGTTATGCCAAAATGAGCACCTGAGAGTGTAGTTCAAGGGAAGAAGGCTTGCTTCACCTTTGTGAGATTATTCTTTACTTCCACAACACACGTGTATACACACACACACACACACACACACACACACACAAGCACACACACACACAGTGTTAAAATTATTCACCATAAATAATAAGACCCATTTTATCCCCCAAATCATGAGATCCAAATATTCTCTTAAAATGAAAGTCACTATCAGGGCTCGAGAGATAGTTTAGGATCTAAAGAGCACTTTCTGCTCTTGGAAAGGACCTGAGTATGGTTTCCAGCACCCACTTCCAGGGGCTTACAGGCACCTGTAACCCTAGCTCTGGGTGACTGAAGGCCCTCTTCTGACCTCTGTGGACACTTGTACTCACGTGTCCACAAACCCTCAGGCAGACATGCCTATAATACAAATAATTAAAAATAAAACATCTTTAAAAATACAAAAGGAATGTCATTGATTTCACAATATAGAAAAACCTTCAAGACATTTGTATAGATGAGACTGTTTTGGTGGAAGGCTATGATTTTTTTGTGTTATTTTGGCATTTAGGATTTATTTTATGTGTGTGGATGTTTTGTTTTCATATCTGTCTGTCTGTGCACTGTGTGCCTGTGGTGCCTGCAGAGGCCAGAAGAGGGCACTGGATCCTTTGGAACTGGAGTTAGAAACAGCTGTTAGCTTCTATGTAGGTGTCTTAGCTGGAAGCTGAACCGAGGTCCTGGGCAGGAGCAACAAGTGTTCTTACGGGCTGAGCCATCTCTCCGGCTCAGTAGGGGGCTATTGTTTTTTAAGTACTGAAGTGCTTAAAGGCTTGTACCACCATGCCCTTGTGTGTTCATTTATTTCTGCAAAAAATGAATTCGAAGAATGAGGCAGAGACCTGTTTTAGTATTCATTTCCCAGGGACCTGTGTGTGCTGTGTACAAGACCGAGAAGAGCTGGAGAGAAAGCCCCCTGGGAGGCATGTCAGCCAGTGCACAGTAATTGAAAGCAGGATGTATCATAAACAGGCTTTAGCTTACTAACTGCTAAGCAAGTCAGTCCCTCAGCCATTATTTTCTTTGAGCAATTCCCCTCTGCCCTAAACCACAGAGAGGTAATTAAAAGAAACAGATCTCTGGAGAGTTAGATGCCATGTAGCCAGGGCTAGCCCTAAGAAAGGGGTTATATTGTGTAGATGACCTAGAGGAGTATCTTCCAGCCCTCCTGCTCCGTATCACAAGCAACCTGTGGCACCTAATGTGATTTTGGTCATACCGCAGTCATAGCCATACACTCGATGACAGAACTATCCAAAAATGTATGTAGTGAGCCTACTTCTTTTCCTATCTTTGTGGAATAAAGGGAAAAACAAAAGGAAGTCAGACAAGCTGGAAAAAAATAACTAGGTGTAGCTACATGTTCAGGAAAAAAAATCTTATTTTCCAGCTTTGATCTGGTTGTCAGCTGGAATGGACTTGCCCAAGTGATGGCCCACAGAAAGGCCAAATTTATTCTTTTTCTGCTCTTCTTGGACCTCTTTTTTCAGTAAGAATCCTGCCTGGAAATTTAGATCAAACAGGCTGCTTGGAGCAAAATAGAGTGGCGTCTCATCCCAGATAGCCTCCAGGCGCTTCTTCCAGTCTTCCAGGATCTGCTTCCGAGCATCTGGCGGGGTGTGGCCAATACTGTACACCAGCTGGGGTTCCAAGACCTGGAAGCCACAGAAATGCAGCGTGCCGCTCTGCAAGACACAGAAACACGGAGCTAAGTCGCAGGAGCAGTCTGGCAGGCTGTACTGTAAACAAGTATCAGAAGTTGGTCTGGGGGCTGGAGAGATGGCTCAGCCGTTAAGAGGGTTAAGAGGCTGTTCTTCCAGAGGACCTGGGTTCAATTCCCAGCACCCACATGACAGCTCACAGTTGTAACTCCCATATCTGACACCTTCACCCAGACATACATGCAGGCAAAACACCAATGCACACAAAACAAAATAAATTATTAAGAAAAAAAAAGGCTGGGCGGTGGTGGCGCACGCCTTTTATCCCAGCACTTGGAGGCAGAGGCAGGTAGATCTCTGTGAGTTCGAGGCCAGCCTGGGCTACAGAGCGAGATCCAGGACAGGCTCCAAAGCTACACAGAGAAACCCTGTCTCAAAAAAACCAAAGAAGAAGAAGAAGAAGAAGAAGAAGAAGAAGAAGAAGAAGAAGAAGAAGAAGAAGAAGAAGAAGAAGAAG